CCAGATTTTATTATACAATTTACATGAGCAGCTATCCGCTGAACTAATGTATCTTAACTCAAGACTATGCAAGCAGATTTTGAAGCACAATTTACATAAGCAGCTCTCTGCTGAACTATGTATCTTAACTCAAGTCTATGCGGGCAGATTTCAACATACAATTTAAATGAGTAGCCGTCATCTTACATGTAGCTCAAAGACTATGCAGGCAAGTTTCAATGCTGAACTCATTGATATTAGTAAGCCGATTATGAAGACATTAAAATTGAGCTGAGTTATACCGAGTTGATGACTATAGAGGATGTACATTGTGGCATATTTGATAAACACTTTACTGGACTAATGACCAGATTTACAAAATTAATGATAGAACAATTAATGTTACATAAGAAGCTAATACATTGCCAAATCTTATTTTACACATTAAATGAATGACAGGTGCTGACTACTCTATACAGTGAAACTCGTTTAGTACGAACACGGATAATGCGAATTCACGGATATAGCGAATTCAATTTGGATCCCCAGCTGTATAAATTTAATAAATTTCTTGTACGGTTATTACGAATTACGGATAAAGCGAAGTAACTTCATGCGTCCCAACGACTTCGTTATAACCGATTTTTACTGTATATGATGTTCCTTGGCAGTACATGTTGGAGAAAATGATATTTGCCATTCAACACAGATATCAACATAGAATCTATAAGAGGAGCTTGAGCATTTAAAGTGTGTAGCTTGCCCTTCCTGATGGTGTGGGTTTCAATCTTTGGTGGCATCATTTTCCAACAGTTTACTTTGAAGCTGACATCATGTCCAGAATACTGTATAGGGGATTAATTTCACGGTTTTAATTTTCACGTTTTCTCCTCGTCTGACACAGTCGCGGTTTCTTGAACTCGCAGAATTGGTACATGTATATAATAAACGTGACTTCCCTTGTCTTTATTCCACAAACAACAGGGTCTAAATTTCTTGAATGACCTTGTTGATCGCTTGATCATATATCCGCATTTAGGTTCCATTTGAGAGTACTGTTTCAGCATTTTTATTTTTGGGACCAAGATTTTCCATGACACTGTGGTTAGGTCATTGGGGGCATTTGTTCCTTTAAGATTTTTGTTGAACCATTTTGCAGCTGGGATGACATTCCAATAATGCATAATTTCCGCCATCTGAAATTTGTAGGGTACATTGCCTCTCCATTATGTGCCTTGGTTGGTACTGAGGTTAGGTGTTGATCCCTTTATAGTTCAGGTTGGCCCTTGGCATCGATGTACTGATTGAGCTTTTCAGAACAGTCTTGATGACATGCTACATGTACAGCATGAAAAGAATTATTGAAATATCTATTTAAGTTTCTCATAATACTGAAAGTTCTTTCCTCATCAAATTGAAATATGAAATAAAATGTTTCTACTGATATAATTAACATTATACTAAATGTTTCCACAAACACTATGAAACATTATACTGAATGTTTCCAAAATCCTTTTGAAACTATATACTGAATGTTTCCACAAAACCATTGAAACATTCACTAAATGTTTCCATAAAAAAATTTGAAACATTATACTGAATGTTTGTACAACAAACTTTAAACATTATACCAAACTATGAAACATTATACTGAATGTTTCCACAAACACTAATACGTGACTATGAAACATTATACCGAATGTTTCCACAAAACCTTTGAAACATTATACTGAATGTTTCCATAAAAAGTTTGAAACATTATACTGTATGTGTCTGAAACAAGCCTTAAATATTATACCGAATGCTTCCACAAACACTATGAAACATTATATTGAATGTTTCGACAAAACCTTTGAAACATTATACTGAATGTTTCCTCAAAGACTTGAAACATTATACTGAATGTTTCCTCAAAGACTTGAAACATTATACTTAATGTTTACTCAAAGACTTGAAACATTATACTGAATGTTTCCACAAAACCTTTGAAACATTATACAGAATGTATCCATAAAACATTTGAAACATTATACTGAATGTTTTCACAAAACCTTTGAAACATTATACTGAATGTCTCCACAAAACTTTGAAACATCAAACTGCATGTTTCCATCAAAACTTGAAACATTATACTTAATGCTTCCACAAAACCTTTGAAACATTATACTGAATGTTTCCATAAAAAGTTTGAAACATTATACTGAATGTTTTCACAAAACCTTTGAAACATTATATTTAATGTTTCCACAAAACTTTGAAACATTATATTGAATGTTTAAACAAAGACTTGAAACCTTATACTGAATGTTTCCACAAAAACCTTTGAAACGTTATACTGAGTGTTTCCAAAAAACCTTCGAAATATTATACTGAATGTTTCCATAAAAACTTGAATTCAAACATTATACGAACTGTTTCAACATAAACTTTGACACATTGTACTGAATGTTTCCACAAACACTAATACATGACTATGAAACATGATACTGAATATTTTTCACAAAAACTTTGAAACATTCTATTAAATGTTTCGAAAACAAACTTGAAACTTTATACTGAATGCTTTCACATTACATTTGAAACAATATACTGAATTTTTCCACAAAAAATCAAAAACATTATACTGAATGTTTCCACAAAAACTCGAAACATTATACTGAATGTTTCCAAAACAAACTTGACAAAATAAACTGAATGTTTTAACTTCAACTTTGAAACTTTATACTGAATGCTTCCACAAAAACTTGAAACATTAAACTAAATGCTTACACAAAAAAACTTGAAACATTATACTGAATGTTTCCACAAAAACTTGAATCATTGTACTTAATAGCCATTCTCTGTAACCACTTAAACTTCGTTGCCACGCATGGTCACCGATTTTGATGAAACTTCACCCATGCTTAGTACTTGACACCAGAAACAAATATCAAACAAAATTTCGTTGCTAAGTGTCTCGGTTGCTATGGCAACAGCCGGAAAAGTTTGAAAAATCGAGATTTTCAGCCACTTTAAATCTTGAATGTGGCTTAATAAAAACTAAAAAAAGCAAACAAAACATTCTCACAAAAACATGACACCTTGATGTCACTTATACTGTAAAGAAACTGTTTAGAATATATCTCTAAGTAGGTGGTAACCAAGGGTACATTTGGAATACATTTAAAATGCTGAAATATGCTGAAAAACACTCCGTATTCACTAATGGTAGGTGTTACATGCTCAAACTCAATCAACAACTTAAGAAAAACAATGAAAATGTTTGACCTTAAGTATATAAGTACAAGCAATATTATTCTATAAATAACTTTTATGGTTGCCATGGTTAACACAGTGTAACCATGCAAAACCAGTAACTAAGATTGGGTTAACGCTACTGTCTTGAGGAAAAACATGAAAATTCAAGACTGGCAAATATGCATCCTTAGGACCTTGCAACACGAAAACCATAAGAAAAACTGGGTATAATTGCTACTTTGAAATGTTACCATGGAAACAAAGTACCAGTACTTAAAAGTGAATTATATTTCGCTGCATTAAGAATTCAATTGCCATATAATCAAGAAACAAATAAAAGGACTCAGCTTGAATAGTACTTATCTGTTAGAACTGAAGTTGAATATCATATATTGATAAAATTTGATGAAGAAAACAACACTGTTGCTATGGTTACCAAGAAGGGAAAGTGTTCGATTTTTGTGAACTTTATATCAATATAAACCCTGTGTGCCAACTTCTTGCATCCACTTAGAGATTCGATGATAGTCAAAATTGAAAGTCAGGTTAGCTGTTAATAAATATCAATTATAAAAGTTTTGGGAATCTACTTTTAAGGGTACGTATCCAAGGAAAGAAAATATTTTTCAGGTTTTTAAGCATATATTTTCTGCTTATTTCCATAGCAAGGCTCTATTTAAAGAATCTAATCTGAATTTTTTTCAAATGGGAAAACTAGGAGCACACCAACATCTTTAAAAATTGATCATTAGTTATGAGAAAATGTGCTTTTTTAAAAGATAGGATCAGATTTAAATATACAGAGTGTTACTTTGAAGGCTCTATGTGATATAAAAACCTTGACAACCATTGCCAACCAAAATGAAATATCATATTTTATTCTTGGTATATGTTTCAAGGCTCTTTTTTCCATTATTTGGTCACATTTCATCCTATAATTGCTTTTTATTTTTACGTGTATGACTTGATAAAATTCAATGAATATTTTTTTTTACTTTTCAATACTTTGTTACCATAGTAACGTATGTAATAGTTGATTTACCAAACATTTTATCATGCATTTGAGACATCTGACCTTCAACTTTTGGAAACAGTCATTGCCAATTGTTTGCTTTACCGCAAACTTTAACTATGGGGCTCTAAACATGTCAAAAAATGCCATTTTTCGAACTTTAAAACACGTTGCCATGGTAACTATAAAACATAGCAACCAATTTTTACCTGATTTCAGTTAAGGGTATCAATGACTTTTATCATAGAGAGTTTGGAGAAATTCTGAGACTATGCGTGCCACAGCTCCTATATAAAATTTCAAATCATTACAGAGAATGGCTCTTAATGTTTCCACAAAACTTGAAATATCATAATGAACGTTTTGACACAAACTTTGAAACATTATACTGAATGTTTAAGACAAAAACTTTGAAATATTATTTACAATGAATGTTGTCACAAAGACAATGAAGCATACTGAATGTATCTTCAAAAACTTTAAAAATTATACTGAATGTTTGCACAAAAACAATGGTACATTGAACTGAATGTGTTCCCAAAGTTTTGATATAAAATAATTACTTTCCAGGAAAACTTTTAATCATTACACTGAATGTTTCCATCAAAACCTTAAACATTCACAAAAAACAAAACAAAACTAATCGAAATTATACTGAATGTTTCCACCAATATTGCAACAATATATTGAATGTTTTCACAGGTATCTTGAACATGTTCTTTATGTTCATACTAAAAAGAAACGATATATTGAATGTTGCAAAACCCACTAATAAGGATTTTGCTGAACATAAAAATACATTTTAAAATTGCCGAGTCTTCCTTATAGGGATAATAATGCCCCTTAAGAATTATATGTAAGGCAGCTAGTAAATAAACTTAACATGTCTTCAGATATATGGCAATTACCAAATGTTCCCTGTTTCTAATGCTACAAAAAATGATTATCAACTTCATTGATATCTTCACATCATTAGAGAAACTGTGTTAAACATTCTTTAAATTGTTAACTGGATATGCAAAGTATTGTAAGGAGCAGTACACAACTTTTTATATAGCTCTGAGCTGAGCATAATTTAATTAAGGCTATATAAAAATAATAATATAGAACATAAAATAGTGTACTGGTCTTATTTCTTTGAAAAGATGATAAAATGCACATGCAAAAGAACATTCCTCATAGGCTGGACAGAGAATGAAGTTTACTGCAGGTGGACTCCATCCAAAGCCAGGATCAGAGAGGATAGGAGAGACTCCCCGAGAACCCCCTGGTGAGGCCAGAGTACAATCCACGATACTGCAGCTGACATCCCGTGGTGACCCAGTTGACCTTGAACACAGATTCATTAAAAAAAACCATACAAACATGTGTAGATCAGCGGACAGGTTAATTGAGCGATAACCCCTTTGACACATTAAGTGTAGATAATCTATTGCACTCTGTTTATTTTATTTTCTCAGATTTGCATACTGAATAATGCAGAAGATTGAAATGCATTCAAATCACAATGACACAACATATATTTCCCATAAGTTAAAAAAAAAACGAATGTTCTAATGATGGAACGATTATAAATGGCACACTGTACAGAAATGTCTAATTCAGTAATTATCATAGATAGGCCTATACCATCTGAGAAAGTTTCATCTGCTGAAATGATTCAACACGTGCATGTGTTTGTAAACAAGCAAATATTTCAAGTGTAAACAATAATTCGCTAAACCAACCAGGATACCATAAATTATGCGTAAACGGGTTCCACGATCAGGCAAGTTATTAACTCCAGAAATGTAAACAGGATGGATAAAATTGCAGAATCAAACAGTCATATAAAATTCACAGTTTTGATGCAGCTGCAGAATATTCAAATGGAACAATGAGTGAATGACTGTAAATGCAAGTAGATTAAGTACGCAAGTGAGATTTCATTCGCCGAGACAACTGATAATTCTCTCCATGAAAAGGGGGTATCATAATCGGGGAAACGATACAGGTTAAATAATTAAATGGAAAACAGTTTCGACATAAATACTATTATTTCCATAATATGTATTTACTGAACATCAGAAAGACAAATCATAAGGAGAACCCAAGAAGTGTAACAGGTACATATGGTAAATAAATATAAATTATGAAAATGATTTGCCCTGTTGCACCGCAAGTTAGCCTGTATTTTATAAAGGCATGCAGCTTAACCAAAATGACGTATGAATAAAATAATGATTTAAAAGCTGCTCCAAATATGTAAACGTTAAAACATTATTTGTTTTGTTATAATGACCAAAACAATACTGCCCTTAATTGACGGGAATGCACAAACACTGCATTCCTAGAACTTCTCCAGTGCATGGGCGAAAGCGGTCCCCGTGTTTCAAATTCTTCATAGGGGGTTGTCGAAGTGAACAGCAACTGCCAAAACACCATCTGTGCCTCCACCGAAATAGGTTCCCGGATACGAGGATAGTTTCCACGGCATAAAATTGATAAATTACAGGCACCGATGATTCTCCCCTAAGAAGTTGACCAATAATTGATCTTAGACCACATGTACACAGGTCCCTTTTTGCATAAACATTTTTTTTTTCTTCAATACACTGCCAGGCTAACAAAAATGGCGCAACAAAATCAAGGATTTTGATTGGATAACTCTGTCAAGCAAAATGAGGTGCGATTTCGCAATGAAAGGTTCTATGATAATTGCGCTGCGATAAGGGCGCATATCCTGCAGACTGCGCAGGGATATGCAGAATTATCCTTAGGTGTAAAATATAATATATTTCTCATAGCGGCATAAATTGAATTATCTGTGATAATATTGTTTTTGAATGAGTAAACAAGCTTGAACTCCTTTTTGTCGCATTTCTCGTTCTTGTTATGCATTAATGTACACATTGTTTTGAAATGCTTAGATATATGTACGATAAACTTGTAATTGATCAAGTAAACAGTATGCGAGCCAAGGAACTTTGATATTTTAAAACTGTATTTGAAAATGTTAATTATGCAACCTTTTCCAACTACATGTAATTCATAACCACTTTTTATAATATTTAAGGAATTGATTCTTTTATTAAAATGATTTTATAAATCATAATTATGTGAATGAATTATTATTAGCTGATAAATCTATTCAATATTTAAAGTGAAATAATGGATTCCTCACATTGTTTGTTCATGTTTTAGTCAGACGTCTTGAAGGTGTCAGAGTCTCATTGAACAGAAAGTTTAAAGATACATTAATTACACTTCACGGATTTTCTTCTCCTTTTTGTTTTTATTTCAGACGATGACAGTTATGTATTATCAGATGGCAACAACTCTGATCAACTAAATGTATGGATAACACTTTTTTTGGTTTTATTTTTCTAAATGTTTATATATAGAAGTTCAAGATTACATGTAAACATATATTTATACGTAACAAAATGGTTAAAGCTGGAAACAACTTAAAAAGGTAAAGACTTTTTTGTTTCATAGAACTGGAATACCCAGGAAAATTGTGAAGACACATGGGAGGAACTGGGGCCAGAGAAACAGATGGACAATCATCTAAACGAAAATCAGGACACAACTTCCATAACAGAAATCGAATCGGTAGTCGAGAGAAAGTGACACTTTCCTTTACATCTTAAATACATTTATGATAGGCACGATGTTGTCTGATATCTGATTTATTGAAACATTAAAAGTAGTTTTGCATAAATTTTTTATATTGAAAGGTATGGATTTTAAATGATAATATTTTCTTCCCTTCCTACTGTCACGGAGCAAACCGATCAAGAACACATAGTACAACTTTTGATTTAAGTACACAAATCCTAATATCGAATACATAGTAATTCTATTGATATGTAATGCATGAACTGTGAAATCACCAATTTTTCGTGAGGGTTAATTTTTGTGGGTTTTTTTTTTTTTTTTAGGAACGATTAGACCCACGAAGTTTTGTCCTCCATGAAATGTATATTTTCACTCTTTATCCAAGAAATTAAATCTCCATTAACTAATATCTGTTCCTCAAACCACGAAAATTTTACCTTACAAAAATATGCGATTAAGTTAACAGTGTTTTCAGCCCGACGAAAACTCAGTAAACAATACGTTAATTTATAAAATGTAAAAGGTAAAGATGACGATCAATGAAAAAGAAAAATGTAACAGGGCATAAAACACTGACCCCCGATGAGATAAGGTGCTTTAGAGATTTCAACCTACTATGTCAGCCATTCACAGCCGCCCGGCGCCTATGTAGGAAACAGTATAACTAAAGTCAATTGATATGGAATATGTCAGTTAAAGTACGGCCATCGATAGATTATATATGGTAACAAAGTCATTATACGAGGGGTGATCAACAAGTTACGAACAATCGTTGGTTTGCTAATTGCAACGCAAGTTAGTGTCCAGAAAATTTAAAAAGAAAAACAATATGTTGGGCTCTTATATGCCTATGAATGTGAATCTATGATCATGAATATATGGAATATTCTTTCTCTTTAGGATGATTCAAAGAATGTTCCTGGATCAGAATGTGACTCAGAAATTTTGACAACTGAGAAAATGAAAGATGATGACGATAACCTCATAGAAATTAATGAAGGTCAAAGTACGGTTGACGAGGTTGGGATGGTAAATCATAGTTTTAAACTACGTATGACATACACTGAACCCAAGAGTCACATGTTAATCATGTTAATCGTAGTCTGTCAATCTCTCTCTCTTGAAAAACATTTGGAATTTCCTTTGGACTTCCATTCCGAACCCACATCACGAATTTCAACCAAACAGACCATTTATAGGAACAAAAATTTCAGTTTCTTTTTTAAATCGAAATGTGCTTTCAAAATCTTGTAGGAACAACCCTGTAATGCTTAGTAATTACACAAAGAATGTGGAAAATGTTTCATGCTGTATGCACTCAGTAAATTTAAACATGGTTTGAAAACTTATATTAAAATGCATAAAAATATTTTATCATAGTCATTGATTTCCAATTCTCAATATCGTGTAAAATGAATTGAAATTTTTTTAAGCTCAGACCCAAAAATCTCGGAACAGTTCCAGACTTATCAGAAATTGTTCACCGTCACAGAAATTCGATATAAAGAACAATACTTGAAAAGTAGTATTGAATAATTTCGTAAATGTTTATCTTTAAATAACAATATATTCATTTTATAAATGACTAAAATTCTGACTTAATTAAGTCTAACATTGCTTCATGGTTCTGGTACCTGGCCAGGTGTTAAATTGGATTATATACTCTTTGTCTTCCAGGGGAAGGAATTAGTACCTGTTTTTGACTCAAAAAGTGAGAGTTCTGACTCAAGCATCAGCACAACCGACGGATTTTTGTTTTTTGCCAGTCTGCTATCAGAAGCAGTACGTAGCAATCTCATCTACTTTCTGTATGATGTTGAAAGTCTAGAAGAATAAAACAATGTTAACTTCAGCAATCTTCTATAGAAGGCTTACAAGGGAAATTAAACATCATATATAATATTTGATAGGTTAGATGTCGCGAGAACTTCTTCCAAAACCAAACTTACTTCACTGATTCAGAAAATAGCTCAGAGGAAGAAGACAGTGACGATAATGAAGAATCCTGTGAAAAAGATGGGGTAATTAAATTAATACAATTGTTGTTGTTGCTGCTAGTATATTAAAAGCAACAAATATTTAACAATCGCACAGAAGGTGTACGAAAAAGCACTATTAATGTGCGTGAGTATGTTTGTCTTAATGTGAAATAAATAAAATATGTGAGTTTTTTAGCAAATGTCTGTTTATGGGTAAGATAGAAAGAGAACCCTTGTAATCACTATCACCACACTTTGTACAATTTTTGACTTTTAATCTAATAAGTCAAACTCTATCATTTTAAAATATTTAAATAGTTTTCACTATAATGACACGTACATTTTTTTTTATCCGAAGTAATTGCTGGAATAATGCAGAAATCAATTATTAAAGCATAAGTTGACGTTGTTTTGTAATTATGTTTACAGGAATATTTAACAAATAATAAAAAAAACCCATTGTTTTTGTTGAAAAATGCTTGTATATATTAAGTATAGCGAGCCCCTTAATAAAATCTTATTTGGAGATAAAGAACAGTTTTCATGATCAAAATTCCGAATAAACAACAATACAGTTTATGAGCATAACAAACACAGACACGTGAAAAATACCTCAAACAGGATCAGGTCATTTTTGTAGAACTTTCATTCAAAATCATACTGGTCTAATATCAATTCATTTTACTAAAGATGCTATTTATCTTCGATCGAAATTGCAGTCTAGGACCTATATATCCATAGGAAGTTATAGTTAATTAAGGAAAGGATTGCACGGGTCCGTGAAAAAATTCTGCCCAATGAATTTTTCTCATTTTTACATGTAACCTTCCTAATGTCAATGATACCATTATATCGAAGTATCAAGCATGGTCATCAGGCTTATAAGGAAGTTATGGTTGCCATGGTAACAACCATTTTTTAATCTTTTGATATTTATGAAGTGAATGTTTTATAATGCCATACACGCAACAAAATTGAAGCAAATTAAATATTTTCCTGCAGATATTTAATAATATGCTTTATATTTATTGAAAATAAAAATTGTTTCGGAAACTATTGATAAATGTAGCAATGCCATTGTTTTTTGGGGAAGTATTAATTGTTAATTTGCAGTAATATTCTCAACTCAATAGCAGCTTTTAACGTCTAGACAAAAAATTACCCAATGAATTTTCCCAAAACTAATATATGCTGTACTAGTCATTATAAGTGACTTATGGTTAAAATATGAAGTAAGGTAATCAGATTAATTTTGAAGCTACACGCATTTCAGTACCCCCCCCCTCCTAGAATATTAAAAGATTTCACAGATTTTCACATGATGGTTTGTTGTTGGACCTTAAATATGCATAATCTGTTTAAAGACAATAAAGGCCATATGTATAGATAAATAAATACTTTTTCCTCTGAAAATCTGGCAGCTGGTGCTCATTTTATATGTGAAGCACAATGATTTACTTATCACCGACAGTGGTCTCGAAAATAATAACTTTTTTTCAAACTCAGTTTTTCATCTCCAAAACATTCATTTTGTTACTATATCAGTATAAATAAATAATATATTAAAAACCAGTGCGCAGTCCTCAAAGGCCTTATTCTTCCCTCTTTGAACACTCAGCGATGTTTCTTCTTAGTGACCTGGAATCGGCAAGGGGAGGGGGGGGGGGGGGGTTCAGACATTTGAACACATTGAATAAAAAGAGGTTATTTTATAAAACTTGTAACTGCATTATATTTTTTTTAAATAAATGTATTCATCCATAAATAATCTTATTGGCCAAATTATAGTAATAATTATTCTAAATATTCACATTTACACATAGTTTTCCTTCCGATTCTTTTCAAGTAAGTACACTTCATTTTCTCTCTACATGGATGAGCGCTATCTCCATTGTGACGTCATAATGTCACAATTGACGTCAAAACTATAGATCTACTGTTTTGATTCAAAAATAATCATTGATTGAAATAACTTTCCGTCGCTTTATGATATATGCTGGAGTGAAACATCTATATTCATGTCCATGTGATTAAAAATAAAACATTTTTCAAATGTATTCCCACAAGCATGATGAGTTCACATGTTTTTTTAATTTATTTTTGTACATATTTTCCCTGGTATTCTTTCAGAAGAAGTGTGTTGTGTTTCAATACGGCGCATAAAACATTTTACAACAATCGTTTACAATATATGTGCGACGATCATTGAATGTTTACACGGTCAATGTCACTGCTGA